GGTACATATTTGTGGTACACATCAGTTACTAGTACATGTTGTTATATTTCTTAGTAATGTGATTTTTTTTTGTTGAGTATCGAGAAGGAATGCAGAGAAAAAACATGGGGTTGAAAAAGAGCTGGCTGACGTTTTATTTGTTGCTCCAGCCGTTTGTAGAAGTCTTTCCTCTGAGTTTATTGAATACCTGCAGCATTAGACAGCTGGAAGATAAATATGAGTGAGAGAGCTGCACGCTTTAATTACGTATAAAGTTACCTCAACATAGAGATATGATCGGTCACGGTGTAACGGTTTAATTTTACTTCTTTTCACCTTAGACAGAAAGCTGTCAAACACAGACAGCTGCTATTTTGCTGTAAGTCTGATTTGTTTACTGTCAGAAAGTTTAAATGTTTTTCTGACATACAAAGTCTTTGTATGAGGAAGATTTACAGCTGGACATTTGTAGCAGTGGTATTATTGTGTGTGTGGATGCATTTCATAAATGTATATGGCAAAGGGAAGCAAAGGATGAATGAAAACATTTTATTGTACCACAGGCTGCTGTAGTTTGATAAATTAGCATCATACACTGACAAAATATCCATCCTTTTATTATCTATACACCGCCTTAACCTCACTAGGGTCACGGGGGGCTGGAGCCTATCCCAGCTGACTCAGGGTGAAGGCAGGAGACACCCTGGACAGGTCACCAGTCTATCACAGAGCTACACTTGGAGACAGACAACCAAGCACACTCACATTCACACCTACGGACAATTTAGAATCACCAATTAACCTCAACATGATTTTGGACTGTGTGGGAGGAAGTCAGAGAACTCGGAGAGAACCCACGCTGCACGGGGAGAACATGCAAACTCCCGCAGAAAGATCCCGGGTGTCCTCATTGGGGCGCGAACCGGCGACCTTGTAGCTGCGAGGCAACGGTGCTAACCAACGACCCACCTTGCAGCCCTATTGACAGAATATTCAGTACTCAAATCATGACTAAAAGATGGATTTTTTGCCTGTGCTTGAACTTTCTCCCCTCAAATGCTCTGTAGCATTTCTTTAAATGAGCTACTATGAATGGTAGTCACCCATATTACTGAATTTTACCTGTATGTGTACATTGGAAGGTGAGCAACATTGATTGCATATATTTCCCTGATAACCCAGCAGTAGCTCAGAGACAGTTCCACCACCAAATGAAGGGCTCATCCGGGATTTGAACCCGGGACCTCTCGCACCCAAAGCAAGAATCATACCCCCAGACCAACGAGCCACACAATTAGCTGTAAAATGACGANGATGGATGTCTGTGTTCTCTTTATGAGTTGTGTAGCTGAGAGGGTTTGCTGCATTGTTCAGCCATTTGCTCCCAAAATTAGACTTATAACCACCGACAAGTCAATCAATATCTCATTGCCGCTAAGATTTAAATAGAAACAGATTGTTGGGACGTGTGTATTTGTAATTTTTAGGGCTCTTCTCCAGCTTGAGAAGTTATTACGAATTTGCTGGGAAAGTTCCATCTTGCCAGACGTGTCTGTCCACAACTCGAATACCTCGCATTTAGTCTTGCATAGCTAGATCTATGTTAAACTTGCTTTAGTCTTTTTTTGGCCTTTTTGCCTTTATTAGACAGGACAGTCGAGAGAAAGTCAGGAAAGTAGGGGAAGAGAATGGGGGAAGGGGTTGCAGCAAAGCGGGATTCGAACCCACATACCTACATCGGGGACGACAGCCCCTGTACATGGGTCACCAACTCAACTAGGTGAGCTTATAGCGACGCCCAAACTTGCTTTAGTCTTTGCAGTGCAGGTAAAAGTGTTGTATTTATCATTAACTAGTTAGTATCTGTGAAGATTCTCAGTCATCCAGGTCATGGTTATTCTCGTAGTTTAATCGTAGCAACTGGACTTGCTTGAGTTTCTTGAAGCTGAAACTCAGGTGTTAATGGCTCCTAAAGAATATAAGTATCTCCCAACTCGTCAGTCAGAACTGATGAAGCCTCTTGGATGAGAGGTGGAACGTCTTCAAGGAACTCAAGCAAGTCCAGTTGCTATACGATTAAACAGAGAATATCTTTGATGCACTTTCGACCTACTGCTTTTTTTTTTGCCATCCTTCTAGACGATACTCTTTATAACCAGTGCATCCTTCCAGGAGATAATACCATACTGCTGATAAACAAGAAGATAACTGGGCAGCTCTTCTGCATTATTGCTATGCTCTGGAGCAGATACTGTAAAATGTTAGGGATTCACAGCAAACACACGCTGCCTCTTAAACAAAAAAACAGTGTTGTTCTTGAGGAAAGTCATCCGCTATGCACCGCAAACCGCTGAGCGAGGCCGACTGTGATTGTCCAGATCACTGCAGAAAGCCCTCTTCACCTTCAGCAACAATCATGACATCCAGCAATACGATAATAGCACCGATACAGCGGGAGGTAGATGGAGAGGTCTCTGTGCTCCACATGGAACTGAAGGGAACAACAGGCTGTCCACAGTTACTGCACATCAACAGCAACATAAATTCACACTATTCACACAAGGCTTCTTCTCGTATTTCTCGTATGTGTCAAATCTAGATGATGTTTTGGTGAATCCCTACAGGATCTGGTGTACAGTCGTGACTCGATGATCCGACACTAAATGTAAAACCTTCGTTTATGTCGGATAGCAAGGCTGTCGGATTGTCAAGATGGAAGTCGAGATACAAGGAGGGCTTGATGCTGGAAGGCTCATTTGTTGTTAATTATTGCTCATAGTTGTTATAATAACTAGTAGGGCTGGTCCCAATAGCACTTTCTGGGCTCTGGATATTCCAATTAATGATGAATATCAGAATATTCAGCGCTGTCGGGGGACACTTCCACCCCGGGGGAGCGCTCTGACGGGGTGGAAGTGGCCGGAACGCATAGGCAGTACTTGGCTGCTGATGCCAGTTTAGGATAGCGCTGCCGCCACCATCCATGTTTACTTCCGTAAACACTGAGCACGCTCGCTGCATGTGACGTCGTCGTGTCCTCTTCTGTGCATTTGGGACACTTTTGGGTCGTATGAAGTTCACACAGCAGATCACATACAAGTTGCATTTAATTGGAAATGTGAACGAACTCGCAAAAAAATCGGATTTCCCCAAAAAATCTGAATGTAGCATCAAGTCCTGCAGTCTGAACGTAGCCAATCTGTCAGATTGTTAAGTCAGATGATACGGCGTTATCCTTACGTGTGACATAAAATGTCATGTCGGAGTCGGAATCCAAGGCTGCCGCTATGTTAAGGCGGTTTTTAATGGGTTCTGTTCATTTTTCCTATCGATTGTCGAGTCACGACTGTATTTTCATGTGTCCATTTGCAATCAGTAACTGAATCTCAACATACGTCAGCAAAAGGAGGCTCAAGTCTTCCCACACTGGGATCAAACAGCTTGTTTTACGTCATTCCAAGACGTAGCCAATTGCTGGGATGAAAGAGATGTAAATAAAGGAGTTTCTTTAATAGAAAAAAAAATCTTACATTAGGCTCCTTTCATGTCCAGAGATGACAGAATACAAAGAGAGTCGCCTCCCCTAATTGACGTGTGTTACCTAAATTAAGACAAATTAGGGTCGGTACCAGTTAGTTGTTTAATTCAGACCTTCAGAATGAATCAGATGGAAAATGGGTTTTACATTATTCATTTTTTAAAGAAAAAAAATCCTCCACATGTGGATGATTGTCTCAGTTTACTTTTTAATCGTCCACATTTGGGATGTTGCTTCATATTTTAAGCAAAAATAGTAATTAAAAAAAGCTTATTATTCAAAATTATGCAACAACTAATCAGCTTAAATGCATGTTAATATAATACGATGGACAAAATACTGTTCATACCATTATTTTTAATAACATCGTCTTCACTGTAATTTATTTATCAGTTCATTTATCCTGTCTGTCTTTTGTATAGATGATTCATTCATTCAGTTATTGGTCTATCGGCTATATTAAATTGTGAGTGGAGGGAGAAGCATGTTAATTAAT